CCCCCCCCCCCCCCCCCCAACCGTTTTACCTTAGAGACACTCCATTGCCTTTCTTTCACTTGGAAAAATTCACACATGGGAAGTTAAGCCACAGAACTTGGACAAAAAAAAAGAAGAAGAAAAGTCAAACACAACCAATGTAAATACTTAAAAAAAAACCCCTGATATGACACACTGGAATTTCTTTTACTGTGTTGTACTGGTCATGGTAATTACAGTAAGTATGTAATTATTATTATATATAGTTAAAGTTGATGACTTGTGAGTGTACCATGACACACTGTTGTTTGTGAATATGTATTTAAAGTCAAAGCTGAAACACTGCTGCTATCTGACGGTGACTGTAAAACTGCTTCTGTTGGTTATTTATTGTTGGTCTTGTAAGCAGGCCAGTTACTTTATCGTAAGGACACGGGGAAAAGGGGGGGGGGGGGGGCACGGTGAGACATTTATCAAGGGCACGGCTTTTCTGAGGTTCTTTTGAGATATATCCTTTTGCACAGAGACACAAAAATGTTATTCTGTACATTTTTATAACGGTATAAACAACAGTGGGCATCACATATGTAAAAAACCTAGTTGTCATGTGGAATGTTAGACTGTCTTTGCAACTGCAATGTACCACTTTTACACGAATGTGCTCTTTTTTTTTGGTGGTTTGGAAGCAATTCCAAAGTTCTGGAGAGAAGAGGGGGAGGCAGGGATTCTTCAGAGACCTAAAACTAAGACCTCACCTCCCTGTTCTTCTCTGGCAGGATCTGTATGACTCTGCATTCATGAACAATAAATGTTTTCTTTCTTTGCCTCAGTATCACTTTGCTGCATTGGAAGCTTTTAAATGTCGCGCAACTGGTGAAATCTTTTCACAAAGACATCATATTGCAATTCCTGGCCCTAATGGAAGCTAGTGGTTCTCAGACAGTGAGATGAGACGCTGTCAACAGCATCCTCCCAGGAATAGAGCAAGAGATAAATAATTCTCCTACACAGCAGCCGCATGAAGGCAGCTTCAGAGCACATTGTCGATATGTGGCCTTTACTCTTCTCGTGGAAGAGCTGGGAGAGTTTTATGACCCTCTGCAATATTCCTTTTAGGTGTGATCCATCATAGCTGGTGCATGCCAGGTTTGTTCTTTTCTGAGATTATTTCAGAACAGATACAAGCGTTTATTATTTCAGCAGATACTGTTGTCCAATGGTGTACTATACCTGGACTCGATGTCACACAGAAAATCACAGTGGTTAAAAGTGTAGTTTCACTGAAAGTGCAATAAGCCCTACTTTCTTTTCTTATTAGGATTCTTACTGGTCTGTTATGCTGAATACATGGTTTCAGTCAAGACACTATTAACAGAGAAAAAAAGAATTGGAACATGAGGGAACGGCTCACAAAGATTTGTTTAGACCGAACAAACAAAAATCATTAGAGGTATAGAGTTGCTACAGTTTCAGATTTAACAAATATGAGGTTGGTATCGATCTACCGAGGCAACAAAGTAGATTTCCCAAAATGTCAGTCCATTCCGATAAGAATATTACTGAAATACGAATATATATTTATGAAATAAATATGATTAAGATGAGATGCTTTCAGCAAACCACACGCAAACACCCACCCTCAAACCAACCAAGAGACTGAGAATCTTTACTACTGACAGGGTAAGAATCTTTAATACAAAAAAAACAAATAAAAAAAAAACAATGCTTCTGGTAATTATACTTTTTACATTTGAACTGAATGTTGTATTATCCTTAAAAAGATGATGGCATGGAAGGAGGTCACTGGAAGTCTTTAATTTGTTTCTGGCTCAGTCTTTTTTTAAAAGTATCCACAACCAGATACCTTGGATATTGGATATCTTGCATGTGGTTGTGGTACCACTATATAGGAAATGGGCAGTATATGTAATATTTTTCTCTCTTCACTCCGTTTTCTTAAAAAAATCCCTTCGATATATAAATAAATAAATAATCCAAACTGGAAGCTGATTTCTAAATAAGGGAAACTTTGATTCAGTTTCTTTCCAGGTAGCTCTGCTGCAACATCCATAAAAATCCCCCTTAATGGAAATTCATGTAATAGGAAACTCAATATTCCAAGTGCAGAGTGCAGCCCTTGGTGTGAATAAAAGGCCTGTGACTGTACTTAATGAGGCAAATTAGACCGAAATGACAAGGTCTCAGATATTGAAATTTCAAACAGAGGATATCCTTTTACTTCACCCACTCATGAAATCAAAGCGAGCACCTTCTTTGTATTCACGGTTTCTTGAATAACATAAAATGATTATCACTCAGAAACACTATAACCTTCAGCAGGAGAGCTTTCCAAGCTCGGCTTATTTGTATGGATGTTTTCCTTGGGTTACTTCTGCTCTCAGAGTGTAGAGCTACTGCTCTGGACTGATATATGATGTGTGCATGGTGGCAAAATACAAATTTCCCCACATTTTGTTTAATTTGTGGAAGCCCATTTCATTTTTGTAGAGACATACCATAAATGCTACCACGACAATCTTATATTTTAAAGGGACACTAGTAGAAAAAGGGCGGCTCTTGCAGAATGTAACATGGCATCATATTTCAGGATTACAGAGTTGTAATGCTTAAAAACCACAAGATGACAAATCAGGAGGTAAGAGGCTTGAAGTACAATCCCTGCTTGTTAAGATTTACAAGCTAAGAAATACCTGATGACATGAGTTTGAATAGATTCAGGGACATAATTAAAATTATGTATTTATAGACCATTAATGATGACCTATTTGAATCTTTTCATATTCAGAATGGGATTATCATCTTCTTAACCTAATGGCAGTATGGAAAGCACACCGTCTAATAATTCTGTGCATTTCAATTCCCTTAGAGGGACCAAATAGTTTTTCCTTCATTGAGATTTGTTTAATCGTGCAAGTTTCCGCCACCTTAACGTCAACAGAGCTTGACTTCATTAGCATCCCAAAGAAAGACCTGCAGCTGTGCACAAGTTTTACAAAGATGCGTCATGCGGTTAAAAGAGAAAGGGGTGAAAATCTTTAAGATCTGAGCCATCTTTTAATGCTAAAGGAATTTAATTAGAGAATAACCAAAGGATTCACTTAACTCACAATTTATGCTCTCTGGCATTAAAAATTTTGGCCAATCTTTAGTGGTTTAAGCATCCATCTGCAGAAAGTCATCAAGTCCGGTGGTTGTGCTGCATAACTGCATAGCAACCAGGAAATGTTAGCCCATTCTGTCTGAACAGATGCACTCCAGAGTGCATGATGACTGTAGGTCCGCTCGGATTGAATTAATAAAGAAACAATTACCTCCAATCCAATGAGTGGGAAGATTAGTCTAAATTAAAATCCTTTTATAGACAGCTCCCTTTTCTCTGAAAAGGCATAAAGTTGGGGTTTAAATATTGATGAAGGATTGGCTAAAGGTCTTGGGGAAATTTAGATCCTGGGCAACTGTGAAAGCCTAATAACAAACGTGTCACTTGTTTCAAAACCGGAGGGAAAAGTGTAAACTCCAAAAGTAATGTACTTTGTACTTTGAACACACAGCAGTGTATGTAATATTCGACTGGAGAGGGAGTCTGGTGAGTTTTAAGCTCCTCAACGGGAGACTGTTTCCCCTAGTTTTTCCTTATTGGCAGTTAGTTCACACTGTTTACAAGCACAATTTCGGCTCATTTACTCTCAGTGTGCAGCTAATCAATATCACATATAAAAATCCTCAGGCTTAATTACAGCATCGCTGTCGTTATTTGGAAAGTGTATTAAATGTTGTTTTTCACCTACTTCAGTGACCTTTCGTACCTGTGGATAACTAACTTGTGGTTTCTAGCCATGGCAACCAAACAGAGAGTCAAACCATATGCCCCCGTGGCTTGGAAATGAATAAATAGACGTATTTATAGTGGTTCAAACAAAAGCTTCCATTAATCATGTGTATCTAGTGTCAAGTAGCAAACATTTTGCTTAATGCTAATGGCATGGTAGATTTCTTCACCATAGCAACAGTCTTGTCAATATTCACACGGTGCTAATTTTAACGTGCTCATGTCATAGATCACAGCACTGCTGTGCAAACAGCCCCCGGTAAACAAATGGCTGTAGGTGGTGACAGTTTGCAGGTGTATATTCTGACAAACAAATTTTAAAAAAGCACCAAACACCCTCTCCGTTTTTAGGTTAGATTTCCGATCTTTATCGGAAGCAACAATGGCTGAATTTGCTTCAGATCCAGATGGAACTGCGTTCCAAAACAATTTTCCAGTGCTGATTTTCAGAAATGAGATCGGATCAATTCAGCACTTCCCACTGCTTAAAGCAGCGGCTTTTTTGCACTAATTTCTTAGCTCTTGAATAGCTAACAGTAATCATTGAGCAATGAAACTGAATTTCGCTAAAAATAATATGTGAGAATAATTCTTCATTTAATTATGAAGCCACATTTATGGATCCTACATTTGTCAGAAAAAAGAAGCACTATAAGAGCAATGTGGGTGATTTAGGAACTGGATCTTCTCCCAAGTAATTTAGTTTCACGCAAATTTAACATAAGTATCTAAATAAGTGTTTCATTTTCTAAACCTGCCAAGTGTCTTAAGTGCATATAAAAAACTAGGCTGACGTACTGTAATGATATCCATGGTAATATAAAAATGCTATGCTACTTTGATTAAACTAATAATACTGTGTGAGCTAAAAGTGGTTTGTGGGTAGGTAAAAGGTCATAAGAAACGAAATACGAAACGTTCATAAAGGATGCAGACATTGCGCATCAAGAGCAACATTTGGAAGCAGATATTGAGCCAAAAAGTAAAAGAAAGAAAGAAAAAGAAAACAAGTACAAAAAATAGACCAAACTGACAAAGTGAATGTGCCTAAGTCTCTATACTCATCAATTAGACTCATATCGCTGGGATCTCATTGTATTTTTCTTAAATCGAAACAGAAAGCATCAATAGTTTGTATTCCGTGGGCACTTTGGTCACAAAATGTTATTCCAAAATCACTGGTGGCAATTTTTAAACCATCGTGATTAATAGGCATCTTGAGTTTGTATATCAATAGGACCTGTGTTCATGAATGTTTCACATATGGATCATTCAGTGCCACTTGTAATCTAAAGCAGGGGAAGTTTACTTGGAGTTGGACATCGAGGGGATTTAAAGAAGGAGAAAAACTGTCAAAACAGTGTAGATCTGAATAAGTGGCTCCACCGCTCTGATTTAGCTCGGCTCTGCCCCTCCTCCAGATTCCTGTCAGCACATACTGGACCCAAACACGTCAACCAGACAGCCGGGCTGTGTGATGAGACCAGAAAGGTCATGCTACATTTCAAACACTGTGTGGAGGGGGGGATTGGCTGAATGTTGGGACTGCGAGATTTAATAAAGCCTGTCCGGGCTATGTGCGATGTGCAACCCCCCCCCCCCCCCCCCCCCCCACCGACATCTGTGACATGCGACAAAATTACGGGCAGCTTTTGACATGCTAAAAAGCAGAGGGGCTGGCTGGGTGCTAATGATGCTCGCGGTTTCAGTTCAAAATAATGGTGTGACTTGTGAACTGAAGGCACTTGTCCTTGTAGAGGAGTCTCAAACTCGTACTCCTGCAGGGAACGACTTTAATTACATGCCTCTGTGTCAACACTTGTTTCTGGTGAGATGCCGAGTCCATTTCTTTTTTATTTTCAAAGTTTGCGACAGTCTTCTGCAAGTTACCTTGAACTTAAACTTTCAATAACAGACTTCATTTAAGAAATCGGTTAAATCTCACACCCGTTTTTTCATCATTCTTTGTGCTCAGGAACAACAAAGTGCCACCAAACTGTAATTGTGGAGAAACATTCTTAAAGAATTATGATTATCTACACTCAGCAGTAATAATTTTTTCCATGATTGAGTTGTCCACGCTTAAATGTGAGTCTTTGTGAGCGAGAGTGTGCTTCTTTGTGCCATTGATCAAAACAGAATGGGATGACATCCTGAACAATAAAACACTGATATTTGCTTTCTTTTCT